TTCTTGAAGGGGATTATTGGTGGGTATAGGGGTATTGTTTGGTTGTTTTACTTGGTTTTTTTTTTCTTTTTTTTCCCTCGTGTTACGTTAATACACACATACTTAATAAAGGGCTGTTATTTTTCTTTTTCCCTTTTCCATAATTTGCTTTCCTTCAATCGGAGCCTCTTAATTTCGAATCTATAATTGCTAGAGAAGAAGGTTTGGGTCTTTTTCTCCTAATCCATCCTCAGCAAAAGACCCTTGTCTCAATTAAACTGAGACACCAACCTCATCTCCTCTCACGACCAGGTGACCCTCCTAGTGGATGAGGGAGAGTCTGCAGATGTAGTCTACTTGGATGTCAGTAAAACCTTTGAAACTGCATTCTCTTGGAAAAGCTGGCAGCCCACAGCTTGGACACTTCTTCACTTGGTTGAAGAACAGGATGGATGGCCAGGCCCTGAGAGCAGTGGTGAATGGTACTGCATCCAGTTGGTGGCCAGTCACTAGTGATGTTCCCCAAGGCTCAGTGCTGGGCCCACTCCTGTTTAATATCTTTATTGATGATCTGGATGAGGCGATCGAGTGTACTCTCGGTAAGTTCATGGACAGTACTAAGTTGGGTGGGAGTATGACAGGTTGGATTGATGGGCCGAGGCCAATTTTATGAGGTTCAATAAGGTAAAATGCCAGGTTGTGCACTTGGATCACAACTCCATGCAGCATTACAGCATAGGGAAAGAGTGCTGGAAAGCTGCCCAGGAGAAAAGGATGTGGGAGTGCTGGTCAACAGCTGTCTGAACATACACCAGCAGTGTGCCCAGGTGGCCAAGAAGGCCAATGGCATCCTGGCTTGTATCAGAAATAGTAGGGCCAGCAGGACCAGGGCAGTGATCACCTCCCTCTATTCAGCATTGGTGAGGCTGCCCCTTGAGTTCTGTGTCCATTTCTGGGCCCCACAATTCAAGGACATGGAGGTGCTGGAGTGTGTCCAAAGAAGAGCCAACAAAGCTGGTGAAGACCTTTGAGCACTATGAGGAGTGGCTGAGGGAGCTGGGGGGTGTTAAGCCTGGAGAAAAGGAGGCTCGGGGGGGACCTTGTAATTTTCTACAACTACAAGGAGGTTGTAGCAAGGTGGGGATTGGTCTCTTCTCCCAGTCAACCAGTGACAGGACAAGAGGACACAGTCTCAAGCTGCACCAAGGAAGATTCAGGTTGGAAGAATTTCTTCATGGAAAGCATTAGAAATGGCTGCCCATGAAGGTGGTGGAGTCACCATTCCTGGAGGTGTTCAAGAAACAACAGGATGTGGCACTTAGTGCTACAGTCTAGTTGACAAGGTTGGTTGGAGGTTGGTCAAAAATTTGATTTGATGATCTTGGAGGTCTTTTCCAACTTAAATGATTCTGTGATGTCAAAACAGTTAGAAAATTTTGACATCGTCAATGCTAAAACAAAATTTTGATAACATTTTCACTTAAGCATGAAGAGTCAAAAGAAACACTGTTCTAAAAAATCTATTAATTTCTTTCAGATATAGTGTGATATCTTTCTGCAGAACCTTGTCCTTAATAACTCACCTAATAAAGTGCCTTGTTGCCTGACCTGACCACAGCCCCAAATTCTCAAATCTAAAATCAGTAGTGCTCAGCTTCATTCTTTTTGAAGGGCGCTTCACATGGGAACTTTCCCCAAGAGGGTAAATTCATTCCAGTGACACTGACACTTAAACTCTACTGCTGCTCTAATGACTATTTTATTATGCTGTTGTAAAGCTCTCAAAGTAGAAAGATTGAGAACGCCTGACATACTGTATTTCATCAGAGCACTTATCAAGGAGTTACAAGTTCCAATGTCTTCAGATAACCGCACAGCTGTACATGATATTCCTCATGAGACAGAAGATTTAACATGGTCCGCAGATCTAGAGATGAGTATTGATTCCTCTGAGGAATATGTACAAACTACAAGGAAGACAATGAACAAGCAATTGGATAACTGAGCCAGATAAAGTTCCAGGTAGAGTAAAAATGTAAGCATCAGCAATGTTGCAAAGAGCATTCAGTGAATAAAGTCCAACAACACGTGCTGAATAGAAAAAATCACAAACTAACTCACACTGTGTGCAACTATCTGTCCTGTGCACAAAATACCAAAAGATTGCTGTGGAAATAATGTGATGGAATCATACCTCAACAGTAATACAGTGTGGAACAACGCAGCAGTTACTACTGTAACATCTGTGCCTTTAAGTGATCGAAAGCATG